GACTGATAGAATTCTGGGGGGAAAAATCCACAGGTTTATTTGGTTTGGCTTCATTGGTTTGTCTTCGTGGAGAATCCAATCTAAATGAATTATATTGTGCTGTCCTGGCTCTAAGGTAACAGAAGCAATGCAATAGGTACTGGGGGATTACTGTGTATCCCTCATTAAAGCAAGTACTTAGTCCTCAGAATTATATCACAAGCTCAAACCTGATTGCTACTCTGAGCAGACCCTCCATAGGGCTTCTTGAGCTAGCAAGTGCGATGAGAGTCAACTGCCCATCTTTCTTCTGGGGAGCCCTTACTGTGATTGAGTACTGTGGAGTTGGAACCAACTCACAGCTGACCCCTTCGTGCGTTTTCAGAGGCTGTAAATCTCACAGGAGGAGATTCCCCATCTTTCTCCCATGGAGCAGCTGCTGATTTTGAACTGTGTATTTTGTGTGTTTTTGTTATGTGCTGTCAAGTCGCCTGCAACTCATAGTGACCCTATATTCAACAGTCCTAAACTCTGCTCTATCCTGTGCCAATCTTATTGCTTCTGACACACCCACCCTGATTACCCCAGTCACTGAATCAATCCACCTCATAGAGGTTCTTCCTCTCCTGCACTGTCGTTCCACCTTCCCAAACATGACGTCCTTCTCCAAGAACTGATCCCTTCTTGAAACATGTCCAAAGTATGTCAGACAAAGCTTTGGAATCCTTGTCTCCAAGGAGTAGCCTCTCCAGGATGAACATGTTTGTTCTCTTAGCAGTATATTCAATACTCTTCTCCAACACCACAGCTCAAAGGCAACAGTTCTCCTTCTGTCATCCCTAGTCATTATCCAGCTCTCTGATACATAGCAAGTGATTGCAAAGACCATGGCCTATATTTTGTGTAGCTAAGTCCTCAGAGCTCTGTCAAAGAGGGATACAAACTACTGGGGACCCACAGCCTTTGGGTTAACACAACAAATCAATGCCAACTCAATCCATCACTGAGCTCCTTCATGTTTTGTTATTAGGTGACATCCAGTCCATGGCAAATCACATCTACCATGTGAACAGTGGATTTGAACCTTGCCTTATTGTGTTCCAGCTTCATAATCTTGATATTCTTGAGCCCACTGCTAAAGTCACACTGTGAATCCATCTTGTTCAGGGTCTTCCTCTCTTTCTCTGACTTTCCCCCCTTGATGTATTTTTCCAATAACTGACCCCTCCTGACAAAGTATGTGAGATGAAGTTTCACTATCCTTGCCTCTAAGGAGCAACCTGGATGTATTCCTTTAAGAAATACTGGTTTTGTCTGCCCCAACACCACATTCAAAGGCATATGTTGTTGTTGTTATGTGCCATCGAGTTGTTTGCGACTCATAGCGACCCTATGTACAACAGCCCTAAACCCCACTCTACCCTGTGCCAATCGCATCCCATCCCGATTACCCCAGTCACTGAATCAATCCACCTCATAGAGGGTCTTCCCCTCCTGTGCTGTCCCTCTACTCTACCCAGCATGATGTCCCTCTCTAAAGACCTGTCTCTCCTTGAAACATATCCAAAGTGTGTCAGATGAAGCCCCAGAATCCTTGCCTCCAAGGAGTAGCCTGGTTTAACCCTCTCTAAGATGAATCTGTTTGTTTTCTTGGCAGTCCATGGTACATTCAATACTCTTCTCCAGCACCACAGCTCAAAGGCGTCAATTCTCCTTCTATCCTCCCTAGTCATTGTCCAGCTCTCTGATGCATAACAAGTGATTGCAAAGACCATGGCCTGTATCAGGCGCACCTTCGTCTCCAAAGAGACACCGTTGCTCTTGAGTACTTTAGAGAGGTCCCTAACAGCGGACTTTCCCATCGCAATACGTTTTTTGATTTCCTGGCTGCTGGTGCCAAGAGCGGTTACTGTGGAGCTGAGCAGACTGAAGCTGTGAACAATCTCAATCTCTTCGCCATCCATCTTGATGCTGCCAATTGGTCCAGTGGTGAGAATCTTTGTCTTCTTGACATTGAGCCTCAGTCCATACTGAAGGCTGCAGTCCTGGACCCTCTGCAGTAAGTGCATGAGGTCCTCCTCAGTTTCAGCGAGCAAGGTTGTGTCATCTGCATAACGCAGATTGTTGATAGATCTTCCACCAATCTTAACGCCACACGTTTCCTCATAGAGCCCAGCCTCTCGGATAATCTGCTCTGGATACAGGTTGAAGAGGTATGGAGATAGGACACATTCCTGGCGCACACCCTTCCCAATTTTGAACCGTTCAGTGTTGCCCTGCTCTATTCTGATGACTGCCTCTTGGTCCAAGTATAGGTTTCGCATTAGCACGATTAAATGTTCTGGGATTCCCGTTCTTCTCAGAGTCAGCCACAGTTTGTTATGATCCACGCAGTCAAATAAATGCTTTTGCATAATCAATGAAACACAGATAGACATTCTTCCGGTATTCTCTGCTTTCAGCTAAGATCCATCTAACATCGACTACAATATCCCTAGTACCACGACCCCTTCTAAACCCAGCCTGGACTTCTGGCAGTTCTCTGCTGATGTACTGTTCCAGTTGTTTTGGGATAATCTTCAGTAGAATCTTGCTTGCATGTGAAATCAATGCTATTGTTCTGTAGTTTCCACACTCAGTTGGGTCTCTCTTCTTTGGGATGGGAACAAATATAGATCTCTTCCAGTCAGTTGGCCAAGTGGTTGTTCTCCAGATTTCTTGGCACAGCTTGGTGAGCACATCCACGGCAGCATCTGTTAGCTGAAATATGTCAATTGGTATACCATCTATTCCGGGTGTCTTATTTTTTGCTATTTCCTTCAAAGGCATATAGTACTGTGTTTTATTGTTAGTACTATATATTGTTTGTATGTGAATGTACCATTCATATAGTATTGTATATTATAATAAGATTTTTACTAAATTAGCTTTAACAGTTTTATTTCCCAAAATAGTGTTTTCAACTTAATTGCAAAATATTGTTTAACAGTTAGTATAGAATTCTTCTATGTGAGCTGTCTTTTTCATGTTTCCTTGCTGGCCAGGACCTTCTGATGCCACTAAATTAAGAACACTAAATTACAACTCATCACACAGTGGTTGTTTGGGGTTTGTTTGGTTCTATTTTTTACCTTTTAGGGGATTATTTGCTCATCTATTTCCCAAAAGTCTGTTTTCATTTTATGGAATAAGACATTTAATTGTTCTTATACTGCTGTGCATTTCTAAATGGGAGGCTTAACGATATTTACTGGGGGGGTGTGTGTGTACACACACACACACACACACACACACACACATCCCTCTCCTCCATCCCCTAATTGCTCCCTGACATATTTAACTTAAATTTCCCATCATTGGCTTAAATATTTATAAAATTATTGACAAACCTCTTCGCTAATGCCTAGGTGTATTGTAAAGTTAGGATCCTCTTTCCCTAGTACATCAGGTTTTCACACACCTAATTCTGTTACAGTCGGCTAGACAGACAGTCAGGAGCTGTGGTGGTGTAGTCTGCAGAGGATTGCTCTGCTAACTCAGAGGCTGAGTCTTTCTGGCAGTTTGAATCTACCAGCAGCTCTGAGGGACAAAGATGGGCAGCCTCCTCTCTGCAATTTAGTCTTGGAGACTCAGTCATTTATGAATCGGTTCCCACTTGACAGCAGTGAGTTGGAGGGTCATTTAAGAATTGGTTCCCACTTGACAGCAGTCAGTGAGATAGATACTAATTTCCTCAGTGGATAATGGCAGCCCTTTCCTTATGTGAAATTAACTGTGGGAATTGTCATTCTCTTTTAATTCCCGTATGGGGGTGTTTGAAAAAGTTGCTGATGAGAAGTCACAGATGTGAATGAACTAGAACCTAGAACTTGCTTTTGTTTTTGCGTTTGTTAGATGCCCTCAGGTGTAGCATAGTTTCCGAAAAATGCACTATTTATAAAAACAGCTGCTGTTGCATCCAGGGACTTGTAGATCATTCACATGACATTTTCCCAGCAGAACCATTTCTTTGGGAGATATTTCTGTCTCTCCTCTTCTGGTTCAGGGCACTCATGATTTACCTAAATCTAATCTGCTTTCAATCTCTCTCACGGCTTTAATGTTCTCTACTAGAAGACCAGTAGAATTTAACCACATGTTAAACTATACTCTAAATTTAGAAAAGAAATAACTCCTGCTTGAGGTTAGCATGCTTTATTCTTTTATAAAGTTATATATAACACACACACACACACACACACACACACACACACACACAGAGTCTTTTTAGAGGAGAGACTTACCTCAATCTTTCTTCTCAAGAATACACAATTTCATTGTTCTTTTGCCTGTCAAATCAGGACCTTTTTGGCAGAACGTATGACTGTTTCAGTTGGTGATGATAATAGCACAACATTCTTTCCAGCAACAATTTGTTTCCTTGCAAAATACTGGATAAACCTGACAGTTGTGGCCCAATTACAGTCTATTTCTAAATTACTGGGTGGTGGACCTTCAGGTTTACAATTTGGGTATGGAAATCTGAATATTGAGTGTAGGTCACTTCTGTGTAGGCCCAGGCATTAAAGGTACGCTGCAGACTAAACACTTCCTAACTGAGCACTGTGCTACCTTCACAAACCCTCATCGTGATAAATTTAAATAAAAACTGACTGTATTTTTGAACTCAGATTATTGTATTGACAGGAAATTAAGCTTTAGATGCTAGGTTGGAGTAGATGACATTAAAATGTATTTCTGTATTAGCAATCTTGGCCTTAGTGGTTGTTGTATAACTGCCATGAGGAAAATGTATCTAATTTAATATGCTCTTAGGTCAGTGGAGATAAGCAAAATGGCATTATTTTTGTTTCTATAAATCTACTCTTCTGGGTAATTAATTTTTGAAATATCATGTGATTGAATGCATTTTTAGGCACTTAATGTGACTGATTTTAGGATAAACTTTTAAGCTTTATTTTTTTATGCTCTGCTTTTTAGTCTGTTCTAACGATAAATGACCTTAATTTGCATTTTTGAAGGTACTGTCCAAGAAGCAGGAGCTCTGTTAGCCAACAAGGATGTCCGTGTCAACTGTTTAGATGAGGTAAACTTAAAAAAAAAGTTTACTAAGCTTTATTTTATATGAAATGTATAATATATAAAGCCCAAGAAAAACAGAAAAGTGTGTAGCAGGCAGTTGAGGTGGAAGACAGGTAAATGGGCTAAAGTGGTTAATATAGATGACAACTAAAACACAAACAGATGTGGGACCATGAGAATAGTTTGCAATACAAGATCAAAAAGCATTGCTTTGTTCTGAAGCGTATTATCATTTGGTGGTAAAAGCTTTTTAAAGCATAGGACAGTTTTACAGTCTCCAGGTTATTCATTTACAGAGCTTGGTAACTTCTAGTTGTTTAAAGGAGATGGTTGGCTGATTGACTATTCATCTCTTCTTGGTTAATAGAAAATGCTGAACTTTCAGGCTGAAGTCTAGGGCATAAATGCCTATAATGAGAATTGTTTTAATACTTGAGTTTTGTTATTTTTTTGCCCACAAATCAACAGACTATTTCAGATAAGAGACATGACTTGCTTGAATCATATGACTAGTACATGGCCAGAGCTGAAACCAGAAACTAGATTTTCTAGGATTCTCATGTCTACCAAATATGTTTAGTTCCTGGAAAAAAAAATAATTATATACATATGAGGAAAAAGATGTGTATGTTAATAAAATAATAATCATAACCCCTCAGAACAAATGGAATCTCTATTTTAGGGAAAGTGAATAAAACATATATAAAACATGCTATATTATTACGTGAAACATTATGAAGCTATTAAGTAAATGTATTCATCTGTATCTGTTGAACTGAAGGAATGTCTATAAATTACTACCAGGAGAAAAAACAAGGCTCAGAAAAAGTGAATTAAAATAACCTCATTGCTATTGATTTGGAGCTAACTCAGTGCCGAGGCTCAGGGTTTCAGAAGCTGTTAATCACATGAGAAAAGATTCCTTATCTTTGTCCCATGAAGCAGCAGCTGAATCCAAACTGACCAAAGGTATTGTCATTGCTTTATTTTAATAGTCTCATTTCCCCCCCTTAAACAATAATCCAGAAACCCCCCCTAAGCCTATAAAGCATATGTGTGTGTGTGTGTGTGTGTGTGTACGCACACATTTGTAATATATAAATATAAAAATTTATAGCCTTAGAAATCTATTGGGGAATTCCTATGTGTTGGAACCAACTCAATGGCAGTAGATTTGCTTTTTGGTTTTATAATATATGTACATACACATAAGGTGGCCTACTTGTAAGGAATAGCACTGACAATGCAAAGGTATACAGTTCAAATCTACCAGTTGCTCCAAAGGAGAAAAATGAACATTCTCTTCCAGTGTGAATAACTGCTGCTGAAAACCCACTGAAGGATCAGTTATGGTTTGGTTCCAACTCAATAGTACATAACAACATCAAATAAACACATATACAGATAATATAAAGATAACTAAAATTATGTAACATGTGCACACAGTGTAAATAACATTTATTATAGATAATATTTAAGATGTATATATGTGCACACTTACAGCTAATTCATATCATATGTGTATTATTTTTAAGAAATTGTTTAAAGAAAAGAGAGACTATTATAATGTTTCTTGAGCTTTGTTTTTCTTTTTGGTACACTTCATGGACATTTCTCCAATTCAACGTGAATTGAATTCATTTACTTTAATAGCTTCATAATATTCCATGAAATGATACAGCATACTTTATTCAGATTTTTCTCTAGGTAGACATTTGTTTTGAAGGTTTGTGGGTTTTGTTTTCTTTTTTCTTGCGTGTGTCTGTATTTGGATTTTTTCCTCCAGGAGCTGTGGATGTCTAGTAGAGTGAGAACCCTAAAAAATTCATGTTCTGATGTGAGACTGAGCAAATCTTACCTGAGTCTGGATGTTAATTTATAAAAACTCAGGTTTTAGAAACTTTTCCTCTGTTGTTCATGGGCAGTCCAAATGAGAGAAATGAGTATAACAATATACTGATTATGAAGATGATTTATTAATTCACTTTAATGTTTTTAAATGAAATTTTAGAAATATAAGTAGAAGAAGAGAGATATGTCAAGATAATGCATTTTTCTTTCTATTAAAGAATGGAATGACTCCTCTAATGCATGCTGCATATAAAGGAAAGCTTGATATGTGTAAATTACTCCTGAGACATGGAGCTGATGTAAATTGTCATCAACATGAACATGGATATACAGCCCTCATGTTTGCTGCACTTTCTGGTGAAGTTTTACATTTACTCTCTTTATTAATATTAGTTACCATTAGTAATTTGTATCTGTATGTGTAAATTAAATACATTTTTATTTTTATGATTTTAAAGATTTTTGAAAAATAGTGATAAGAATTGGTGGGAATTTTCTTTTTCTGGAAACCTATCATGAGTGAAATGTATAGTAAATTTGGTAATCTGTTTCTTTAGTTATTCAAGTTAATGTATTCCTTATGTTAACCATATCATTTTTATAAAGAGTTGGGCAACTGGATATATTAGTTTTCAAATTTAGCTTCTATTTTATTTTTATAAATATTGTTACCTTTTCAAACAATGTAGAAAAAAAAAATCTTTGTTCTTCTCTCAAGAAAACAGCTTCTCTGACAGTTATTTGTTTATTTTACTAACATTTATGAACTAAAGATGATGACTCATTTAGAAACTTAATTTAACTTCCATTGCCTATGATATGCTAAATACGGGCAATTGTAACCATTATAGAAAACTAAATACAAATATGTGTAACAGTTGCAAGGATTCGTTTTTGTTTTACTTTTTTTCTAAAAAAAAAAGATAATTTTCTCATACTTTAAAAGCAGTAATTTCTAGGGTTCTCTGGTGGCCTAGGGATCTCTGTGGAAAGAAGCTGCATTGCAATCTCAGAGGTACATGGTTTGAATTTACCAGATGCTCTGCTGCAGAAGGAGGGGTAATCTCCTCCTGTACTAGTCAGATCTGATTTGATGGTACACACACAAAAAAGAATAAAATAAAATTAGAAAAAAAAGCAGTAATTTGTATTTCTGTAATCTTGGATTGGGAAAACATTTTGAAGCATAAAATAAAATTTAGAATCCAAAAAGGACAACATTGACTAATTTGATAACAAAAAATACTAACATTTTCATCTCTGAGGTACTATAGAATTAAAATAAAAATGAAAGTTGAAAATAGGATGTATCTTCAAGGTTTATATCTTTATATATGAAGGATTCTTAGAAGGTGATATCTTTATATGTGAAGAGTTCTTATAAGTCAATTAGAAGAAGCCAAATACTAAAATTGATAGTAGAAAGCATAAATGATTGGGAAAAAGTAACGTACATCCTGAAAAAGATATGAAATATTCTCACCAGTAATCAACAAAAAGCAAACCAGAACATTAAACACTTATTTTTCACTTATATGAGCAAAGAGTAAATAATAATAATAATAATGCCCAAGATTGGGCCAGGAATTTCACTGCATTGTTTTGGGGAAACATACCAGTCCGACCTTGCTGGAAAACAACCAGGCAAAAGGAATTTAGGTTTGCCCAATTTTTGTTCAGCACATGCTTTCCAAGAAATAACCCAAGGGAATAGTAATTGAATTTTGCAATGTTGAGTAGAAAATCCTGCTCAGTAATTTTATAAAAGCTTAATATTTTTATTGATTCTATTAATAAAAGAATGTGAACAGAATAATTATGTATATTTAGATAGACAGAAAGTCTAGAAAGAAGATAACTGATTGCTAAGAATAGTTACTTTAGAACTTAATGAAGTACACAGTGCTTTGAGTGACTGGGTACCACCTTACTCTATGCACACCAGAAAGACCTGTTAATAATAACTGTTATTCAGATATACACACCACCAACAAAAAACACGTGGAAGGAACTTGAGGAATTCTATCAACTTTGCAGCCTGAAGTCGATCAAATATTGTCTAGATGCCTCAGTAATAATTGATGACTGAAATCCAAAATTTGGATACATAGTAGAAGGAATGGTAGTTGGAAATTAGGGACTTGAGAAAAGGAATGAGGCTGGAGAGTGAATGAATTTTGTATATTCAATGATATATTTGTCATAAATATATTTTTTAAGAAACACAGATGACAGCTATACACATGAACTTCACCAGATGGACTGGACAGGAATCAGATTGATTACATCTTTGGAGAACCTCATTATCAGTAGTCAAAGCAAGGCCGGGTGCTAACTGTGGAACAGATACTCATGTGCAAGTTCAAACTGAAGTTGAAAAAAATGAAAACAGGTCCACAAAAATCAAAATATGACCGTGGGTCCATCCTACCTAAATACAAAAGTCATCTCAAAACTAGGTTTGAGGCATTGAACACAAATTATCAGATGAGTTGTGGAATGACATAAAAGATAGCATCCGTGAAGAGAGCAAAATGTCATTACAAAGACAGGAAGAAGAAAAGACTAAAATGGGTATCATCCTCCTTTTCTTGGCAGGGACTGGGCATATGGTCCTGGTCCCAGAAATGTGTGGAGGCAAAAGACAAGGGCTCCGACCCCTCCTCCTCCTCATGTTTTCAGTGTTGGCGGCTTCCTGTCTTCTGTTCTATCCTTATGCAACAAGACAAAGGAGAAAAACCAAAATTAATATCAGAAGAGTCTCTTAAGATTGCACTAGAGTGTCAAGACCAGAACAAAGGGAAGAGATGTCAAAATGAAATAAATAAACAGAAGATTTCAAAAGGCAGCTTGAGAAGCCAAGTTTACTATTATAATGGAATGTGCAAAGAGCTGGAGCATAAAATGGGAAGTACTTGCTTGGCATTTCTCAAGTTGAAAGAACTGAAATACAAATTCACTTCTCAAGTTGAAATGCAAGGAGACT